GATTAGCGCTAACATTTTTAGTATTTAGTGGCATTTAATTTTACTATTTGCGTCGATTCCAGGTACATACCTGCTAGTTGTAAATTAATTTGTATAATTAGCATTCAGCCTTAGCGTTATCAGAATTATCCTTCGTTTGAACATGCGTTTTAGTGCTAATAGAATAGTATTGTTGACTAGTTTAAATTCTAGAAGCTTTGTAGCTAAGGTCAAGAAGAGAAACTTTCTATCTTTGTAAACAAGCTGATACACTGAGGCTCAAAGTAAGGATGCATGTTTTGTTTCCACCCTGAGCACGAGAACTCTTCTTGCCTCACTCTTCTTGCTCTTCTTTTTCTAGGTGTTTTAGTTTAACATAAAAATCTTAGCGAAGAGGCTAGTTCAACCCTAGCCAACACCTTAGTTATTTGCTAAATTTCTTGGAAATAACATTATCTTAATCCTTTTAAGAGTCATTTTTGTTAATTAAAGGTTTCAAAAACCCGTTATAAGAGAATGGAACTTAATTATTTTTCGTTTTTCACTCAAGTCCCTGCGTGCTAATTATAACATATTACCATAATTCCTTAATACCTTTATACATTTATATATTTAACTTTGTGCAGAAGTCATAAGGAACTATTACTGACTTTGAACCCAGCGTCTAGGCTATTTAAAGGTCATGATTTAAAGTTAAGCTTTTAGACTACAGCTGTGCAGTTTTGCTAGTTGGGGGGAGGGTAAGAAATATGTTTGGCATTTGACCATTAGCAATTACCGACGCTTTCGTCCAAATAATGTGCTCTCTATAGTAAAGTAAAGGTTGCTTTTTGCGTCCAGGTAACTATCGTAAAGCGCAGCGCACGAAAAAGATCGAGCCTATATCACAATAAGCGTCTTCCGGCGCCTTATTCCTGGAAACTTCACAATGATTTCGATCTAATGTTGGCGAAAGGTTGGCACACTGCGGACGGGATGCAACTGACTTGGATCATGACACCCTCTACGATTTGAAGGAGTTATTTCTTACAATTCTCGTCTGCGTTGTACTGCGGAGAGTTCTAGGTTCCTTTTGAGCCGTGACGAAAGACATGCTCTTAAAAATGGTAAAAAGGCGACGGTTGCATCAGTTCTGTGGTAGTTACTGCAGTACCTATGCCTTATGGTGCAGGTTATGGCTATCAGCATGCCTGGTGCCTTCATGTTCATTAGCTAGATATCTGTTGCTCTATTGGCTGACTTTTGTTGCTTTAAAACAAGTTTAGCGATCGGACTAACTAACCTATAAATTTATCCAGTAAAAGATTTCTTCGCAAAACACTCTCATTACCTCCTGATGTTAGCTATATTTATATCTAAATAGGGAGCCTTTGGAGCCGTTAGTGAAAGTTGGCAAGATTGGCCAAGTTAGCATAAGAAGCTGTTGTTCATTGCGAGTAATGAATATAATAGCAAACGAAAGAAATGTTATACTAGTGGTGATGAATGATAGCACTATTCCTCGTTCCTGGGTCATTTGTGTTGGGATACATCTTACATGTATAGATTCGGCATTGGTGTAGTATTGTTTATTATGCTAGGGAATTAGCTACTTTCTGGCAAGAAACATAGTAGTAAATAGTGTTATTAGTCGGTGTATGTCGCGAATATCAAAGCAGATCAAGAGATTGTAAAAGGTCAAAGAGATGGTTTTACCAACTAAGAGTTATTTCTATTCATAAAAAACCTATAAAGTACTCAAGTTCTCTTTTTACGATCATTTATTTTTTCAACTGTTTGTTGTGAAAAAAAAAAATTATCTAGCTCCAGTAAGTGTTAGTTATGTTGCCTTCTACGAAGCAATAAAGAGAAGTTTGAGTCCTTTTATAGGTTTTAAATGAATAGAACTAACTTTCAGTTGGTAAAATCATCTCTTCGACCTTTTACAATCTCATGATCTGCCTTTGATATTCGCGGTTTTATTTCGTGAAACCATCATTTTGTCGGTGATTTTACTACTCTGCTTGGCTTTCTAGGGTTCTCTTTACTCCTACAACTGTGGGGTAAGGGCCTTTATAGTGAAAGCGTGCAACTAGGTTACGTTTCTTTTCACACTAAAAAAGTATTAAGTACTACTTTCATTACCTATATGATCTCTACAACCTTTTTCTTTGTGTCTTTCATCTGATTTTACTTTTACATTTCTTTAAATCATTCGGTTCAAATTGGTGGAATTTGTCCTTCTGGAATCTCTGGTATATTCCCTTAAATGCCCTTATTCAATACTCTGGTCCTTCTAAGCGAAGCTGTTACTTTAACTTGAATTACAATTTTTTATTAGCAGGAAATAGACTTAACTCTACTTCTAGGAGTTTTGTTCTTCTTAACTCAAGTATCTGAGTACTATGGTGCTAAATTTACTCTGTGCGACTCCGACTTCGGTTCCTTAGTGTTCTCCACCATGGTTTGAATGTTTGAAAGGGTTTATTTTGGTTAGTCCTTAGCCTACAATGGTTAGTTACTTATACTTTGAGTGTTAAGGATTTACTTCTGAAGCCGGCAATCATTACCGGTATAACTTGAATTGTTCTATTTATCTATTACTATGTATGAACTTTCTAAATTAAGCAAGGCCAGCTAACGGAGATCGCTTCTATATTGTCATCTTTTGTGTTAAGGTCAAATTCTTCTCTGTAGTTAAATAATGAGCCCACGTGTTATAGGGTTTCCTGCTTCAATAAGCTTTGGTCAACCACAACTATTCAACGGAGCTAAAGGCGCAATAATCTTTGCACTACAGGGTAAAAGTGAAGCGCGGCAGTTCCTTAGGGGACTTCTTGGTTAGCCACTTATGAAGAGAGAAATCACTTAGGTACTAAATAAGAGTCTCCCTTGCTTTAACTTTATTTTATTAATCGATTGATAAAACAAAACCCTCTCAATCCTATCAGGGTACTAGTAATATAAAACTAAAACAAGAGGCGTTGTTTCTCAACTCAGGCGTTAAATAAGTACTAATGAGGAATTATTGCTATGTTACCACGAGTTTATCCTATTTAAGATCTTACTGAGTTTACTAATATTAAAGCAATAAAACACTTGGAAGCTTAAAACCTTTCAAGCTTATAAAAAAATCCTGCTAAAGATAGCTTTACCATCCTCTAGAGCAGTTTATGCTGGTTTTTCTTCAAGCTAAATTAAGGATCGATCTAGGGAATAATATTGTAATGGAGTTAGAGTTTATAGCACTTGTTAAAGAATGACTGACTTTACACTGGTTCTGATGCTAAGTCCTCTCCTAGTGGTCCCTTCCCTAGCGCTTTTTTGAGCTCATCTATGGGAAGAGTAACGACTGGGCTATTTTTTAAGGTGTTGAGGTAGGGAAGATTATTTAGAAAATTGTCTAACATTGGTACGTGTTAAACCGAAGTCTCCTGTTATAACGGCATTCTGCCCCCACCACGTTAAACAAAAGCATGGAAGTAAATTAGCCTTCAAAAACAACTCTAAAAAACTACAGAAGAGTGTTACTCCGTATAAAACTTAAACAAAGCATTATAGAAAAGTACTAAAAATTTAACTAGGTAACTTTCTTAGTGTTTAAAGTTTGTTCAAGCCTGAAATGAGAAGCTAGTTATAACATATAACACAATGCTAACGGTAGTTTTAGGGCTACTATACCCTATCTCACAAAGCTAAGAGGTCTCCTTCCACGAGTAACCCTAAGCAACATTATTGACATTGTATCAAGATTCTGATATACGGGCTGAGAGCTGGTGGGAGATATATAAACTTGTTATCTTGCTTTAAAGATCTGTTTAGGCAACTGTGCAGGTTGGACTCGCAATGGGAGTGCTATGCCGATTATTTTAGCGCTTGGCCCGTTAGTAATTATCGATGCTTTCGCAGGGTCAAGTACATCCTTTGTCAGAGCAAGGATTGCTATATGCCCCTAAGCTGGCATCGTAAAGAGCACGAAAAAGATCGCGACTATGCGGTTTCCTGCTGGTTTCGATCTATGGCTGCCAAGTGGTCGCCTCTCTTTTGGAAATTGATGTTTACCACTAATATCTGGACCGGGGTCTTGTCACCGTCCACTCTTCGGGGTCGTCAACTGTAGTCCTTCAGAGAGTGTTCTCTGACTTGCAAAAGTTATGGCTAGTGTCCAGTTTAATGATTGAACTCATTTTTGACAAAGTGAAGCGTAATTATGGTATTTTCCTCAGTCGATCTCTGTTACAGAGTGAGCATTTACTAGGGATGGTTTCATAGACTCCGGTTCGAGTCGAAAGACTTGATATTAAAAATGGTAAAACCTGCAGGTGAGCTGAGCCTTTTGGTAGGTGCTATCTTCACCACCTTTTATGGCGCAGATTAAGGTTAACAGCATACCTTGCGCTTCTGCCTTTGTGTCCGTTAGCTAGAAACTTGTTGCTCTAGTGGGTGGCTCTTGTAGCTTTGTAACTATTAGCGAATAGGCTCATTATTCCTGAGCTTTAGTATGAATTAGCTTGCGCTCTGTATACTAGCATTGCCTACCGAAGCTATTCATTCATGCACGCAGCTTAAGGAGAGCTTGTGGAGCCTCTAGTTAAGCAAGGCGAAACTTGCTAAGTTAGTATGACCAGCTGTCGTTCCGTGCAAGTAGACGAGAGAACTGTTATACTAATGAGTGACGACTGATAACGCTAAGGCTTTTCCTGGCCATGAGTGCTGATTAACCTTGCTTACCATATAAAACTAATAAATAATAACGTTTGATTGACATTAGGTAATAAAAGGGAGCTGATGTTAGTAAATTTACTTCGCTAGGTGTAGCTAACTTCTGGCCAGGAACAGAAACCAGATAGTGTTATTACTAGTATATTGGGAGCAGGTTATAACCGACCAATGAATTTAAAAAGAAACTTTAAAAGTGAGAAAACTATTAAAAAGATCAACACGTTAAATTTTTTTTTTGATTCAACCTAAAGAGGGTAACAAATAATACTGAGGAATTAAATAAAAAAGCTTAAATTTAGTAAAAGAATATTACGAGGGGGCTAAAGAAGTTTTAGATGTCCCGTGCACTCATTAATAATTTGGGAGGGACCCGGACCGACGGCTAGCACCGTTTTAGAACCGCTGGGCACTTGAGTCCTGCCAGCATCCGTAATAAGAACGGTGCAAAGACCTAAGCTTTTGGCTTTATGCATTATATCTACTCTAAGTTAAAAGAACAATAAATACCATAAAACTTCATGAAAGAGTCGTTAATTTAGGTAGTTTAAATAGTAATATGTAATACAAAGATCTTTCGTCTGGAATTTTCAAGACAATTTTGGGTTGAGCATTCAACTTCCAAAAATTTAAAAGCTGAAATCCAAATTATTAAAAGAGTGACAAATGCAAGAATAAAATACTTTGGGATTGGATTTTTGGAGTTTACAATAAACCCCGACAGCGGCATGACAACACTGTGCAGCAATTTTTCCGCTCTTCATGTTCAGATCAGTACGTACTACTAGAGCCTATGGTAGCAAAGTGAAAGTATCACAAGCGCTACAAAACAAAAAATTTGATCTTAAAACTCATAAACTGTACTAAAAAAGATACTAAATAAGCCATCACTATGTTGCGCGCTAAAAAAGGGTTCACATTCAAACTAACAACGAAATTTTTTACATAAGAAAAAAATGTATATCTATAAATTAACATATATATAAATATACAACATATAGGCAGAGAAAGATACGGCAAAAAAAAAAACCATCTTCATATCTTCATTGATAATAGACGAAAATTTTGGCTTCTTTAGAGTTATCAGAAACGATCGACAATTTGGCCAAAATCGACCCAAGGCAAATGAAAATATCGCCACCGCTAATACTACCAACATAAAGAGTGCAGTTTTGCAGACCAAATTATGAGAGTACTTTGGCGGCAAAAGAATAAAGCGTTGGTACACTATAACCGAACAGAAATGTATATTTTAAAGTCTAGTCGTCGTAGCTCATCGGTTAAGAGTATCGCGGGCTCGCTTCCCACCGACGCGACTCTTTTCCGGTTTTTGAAGGTTGCGTATTTAGTCTCGCCTTCATTCATTCTAGGAATATTTCAAACCGTATAGCTTCTGAAAATTTTCTTTTCCTGTAGCATTATATTCATAGAATTTAAACCAGCCCTGCTTCGATGGTTGGACTACAGCGACAAATCTCATTTATGACGGGACAACTAAAAACATGTTGCGACCTTTTTATTTATTGCGTTGATAAATTTTCATGTACTCTACTAAGATATCTATTTTATAACACTAGCTCTCTACTCTGTAAGTTACTAATTGAATAGATCTTTAAAAATACCAGCGATACCCGATAACAAAAAATGCAGAAACCTGAAACAGTTTACTTGAAAGCAAAAAAAACCCAAAACAACGACGCTGGTGATGAAGCGAAGACACATACTCTTGTAATATCTGTTCACTCAATGCTGCTATAGAAGAGTCTAGACTTTCAATAAGCGGTGTATATTGAGAAGAAACTTTATTGGAAAAAGACTCGCATGGCGGAAAAAATTAGGGAAGTCGATACAACTATAATGCTGGCTTAGTTCAACCTCTCGAAAAACTACAATTCAAGCTTCTCTACCTTAAAAAAAATATTAACTGAGAAGAGGAGATGTTGTCTGGTGGTTAACTTGTCCCTTTGGTACATTATAACAATGAGTGTACTCTGCCACATAGCCAATCAGAATTTTAAGAAGATTGGAGATGGTCGGGAGGTCTAGTGCTTCAAAATTGTCAGACTAGATAATTAGTTGTTATTAGGATACTATCTTTTACAAGTAGAATAGTTACAAGTGTGTGCCAAACTTGAGGAAAAGGAACGGGAATTAAGTGAACCACCGAAACATTTCTCACTTTAAAAGGTATATGATCATCCTGAATTTTATTGTCATAATAGGTGATGTGGGGATTTCTATAGGGGATAAAAATAAGCTGTAAGGAATTCTACTTTCGCAGTAGTACTTACTGAAAATAAGATGTTGTATGCTTATCCAGTAGCCCGTTAGTCTTTAGGACGGATTCTGCAATTTTTTTTATGAAAGGTTTGCTAAAGAAACAGCGAAAAAAAGAAAGTTAGATACCGATTCTAGAGAACTCAATAAAAGAACGCAAGGAAGTACGGTCGGTACAGAAGAACTGAGGATCAGCGGCGCCGAGCAAGTCCAGGAGGACAAAAAGTTCTATTGCCTGAAGCTGAGTCGGTTTCAGATGGGTACAAGCCCTTTCAAGGAAAGTAAATGCTTGCTTTAAGATAAAAATAGTATATTTAAAGTCACTTGCTATTTCTGCAAGGAACGCGTTTTTTTTCCAGTTCTCCAGCCAGATGCCTTGAGCCGTAAAGACTATCGGTACTGGACCAGCTCAAAAATGCCTCTTCACCATCAAAAAATATAAGCTGCAGAGACAATTCACTTTTTTTAAATAAGTTTATAATTGAAGCAATTAGGTTTTTGCACAGCTAACTGACTCCTTTGGACCTCTTGAAATTTTGTTTATAACTGAAGCCACGTACAACAGCATTGCCACGGAAACGGCAGCATCCGTGGCTCCAATATATTCTCCTATGAAGAGCGGTGGTGCGCCAGTTAAAAGCTCTGTATGTAGTAAAAAACCTCCTTTCACACTAATAGTGTCATAATGAGCAGCCAACACGAGTTTTCGAGGGCTGGCCCAATAGAAGAGAAATCATATAATAACGCAAAAACTGTAAAAGGACGGCAGTCTGACCTGTATATGTTTTCTGAGGCTATCACGTTACTAAAGTTTCTTCGACCCAAAGGCGTAAGTGCAGTAAAAGCGTCCACTTCTACAGTCCACTTTAGCTCTTCCAATTTGTCAACTATAAACTATACAGCATTTATATTATATATATAAATTTAAAGAGTTTATTACGATATGGAGTTTATATTAAACTTTATTTTTTTTTAAGTTAAAACGTTAACCCTAATAGCAAATTGGGAATTGAAGCAAACATTACGTTCTTCACTCTTTCATGATTTTCGGAACCCACAACTCTAGTCATTAAAATTTGCTGCAAATAATCTGAAACAAAAACGCCAAGGTTCACAAGTTTGGAAATTACTTGCATTAACTCTGTTTCAGATATCTATTAAAATATGGACCATCATTTGCAAACTAAATTTTAATTACAAGTACTTTTGTATGTCTTTGCTCAAAATCTATCATAACTGCAAGCCCACTTACAACATATGCAAGGAGCAGGGAAAAAAACATTCCTAGAAACAGCACCCGTTCCCCTCTAACAGAAACGATTTTTCCTTTTTTAAGCGAATGCGCTACCAAAATGGAGTTGGAGTAAGGCTGCACCCAATAGAATGATGTTTAGCTAATAACGGTCCTCTTTAGACTTTATTGAACCTCGTTTTACTTTAGCAGGTGGTAATTAAATGCTGACTGTTATTTCTTTTGTAGTATGGGATGAAACTTATAAAATTTCTTAAGCCTTATATACACCCAAGTTGTACAGTAAAACAAAAAATTCACTATTTCTATTGAAGCACAAACTTTAAACTTAATGACAACGATTAACTACTAGTGAAGAAATAGAAGCTTTAACTCTTTTCAGCTCGTACTTATTTAAAATAATTCGGATTTTACTAGAAGTAGCGTATTAAAATATCAACGTCACTTGAGTGTTGTTTTACAAAGGCGATCGATCTTTATGAAATTCACACAGTTAATATCTTTTTTCACTTACGACCATTTTAGGCAATTTTTTTTTTTTTAAGAAAATTTGGGCTGTGACGTTAGACTTTTATAGTGGCGTTAAAACCACGTAACATACGGTAAGCCATATATTCAAAAGTTATAATTTTTAACTTTGAGAAGATAGACTTCTACCACAGTCTGCGATTCTTCATACTTAATCCCTCTAAACTAAAGGCAATCAGCCTTTTCTACGGTTTATCAATTTTTTTATTCTAAAAAATTACTACAACAGCTAAATTTTTTCTAAGTCCAAAATTAAGTCAACTTATATAAGGCTTATGGAGATACTCTAACTTACTTTAAATAGAGGTTATTAATCGATTACTGCAGCGTCTATCTATTACTAAAGGTTTTTTTGATTTATATTTTAATATTACTATTCCATTTTTTATAAAAAACTTGAAACCTTTTCAGTCGTCAAAATGCTTATTAAAAAATTCAAAACATTAGTAAAATTTCTACATACTTAATAGCGCGAACCACCCTTAAAGCAATACATATAATCTCTGCGATCTGCTGCGTGCTTTTCCAAGCTAGTAGCTTAGTTACTATCTATCACTCAAGCTTGCGTTCAATCGTTTGAAACCGATCGCACTATACTGGCAGTGAACGGACAAGTCGAACGCAATGTAAAGTCGTTCAGCTCGTTAGTTATAACATTTTTTGCTAGCTTAAGTAAGATCCTCTTCCCAAAAAAATAAGAGGTTCGGTTAACAAGAAAAACGATGGTTTACTATATGAACGTTATAAACGACTGTATTGGTAGTTTTCATTAAATTCAAAAAACATTGTGATTAAAGTGTTAGGTTAAACAGTGTATAACTAAAGGGAGGTGTGAATTGTAACGCAAATTTCTTTGTCCCCAAGAATCTATTCTACTCTTTTTGTAGTACAACATACTTTGTATAAACAAAAATATATGTTATAAGGGAACTGTAGCTCTAAAAGAATAAAGATTAAACAGGTCTTTGGCCAAAACAAAATTAATAGACATTTTAAAATATTACTGTATATGTTGGAAAAGCCACAAAAAACAAAAAGTCTAGCAAGCTCGTTTAACACAAAAAATTAACTGTTAGTGACAAAAATATAAGTAAAAAATTTACTAAACATATTCGAAAAGTACTAAAAAATATTAACCAGCCTACAAAAGACAGGGCGAGAGACAAGCAACGTTAGAAAAAATATACTAACAGCAGCGTGTTAACTAGCACTGAGTCACCACGAAGTACACTAAAAAATTTTAAAGCGAGGCAGAATGAAAATGTATTGAAGTCTCTAGTCTTCGCTCTTTCTTACAAGAATTAAACGAAAAACTACCCTTTAATATTATAACTCGCTCGATCAGACCTTAAAAGAAATACGAACTTGGGAAATACTTATATATTAATTAAATTGTCTTCTAACCCTGAGGTCTAGAACTTCCGGGGCCCCTCCTAAGTAATAAATTCTTACTGACTATTTAAACCCTGTCTAATAAGAACCTCATTAGGATTCTTCGAAACCTGGATTACTTTATAAATCGAAGGAAAGCACGTCTTACTTTAAAAGTCATACTTTGTTCGAATGATTCCATACTTAATTCTCTGCTGTAAACCATAAAATTTCGCTCCACGTGACATACCGCCTTTTCAGGTCGCTCGTGCAAATTAACTTTTTAACTGACACAAATTGTTTTAAGGTAATAATTTCGAAAGTTCCCGAATTTAATATGCATGCGTGATCGCATATAAATGTTTCCACCATAAGCAATTGCCCTCTCCCGTGTATACTCATTTTGTCTCTCCAGCGTTTTCTTGTGTTGCAGACTTTTAAAGCATATAATTGCTTGCTCTTCCATTTAACAGTTTTGCGCTAGGCCTTAACCTTACATTATTTAAGTTGTATAATTTATCCTTATGGTTAGAGAAACAAAATTTTACGAAACTTTTGGTGTTTCGCCTAACGCTTCTAAGGACGAAATTAAAAGGGCATATAAAAAGTTGGCTCTTAAGTATCATCCTGATAAGAATCCAGGTTTAGTACTAGTGATTATAGCGCTTTAACCATGCTTCAACTGTTTTCTGCGATTAAGGCAATGCCGAGGCTGCAGCTAAGTTTAAGGAAATTTCATATCAATTTTCTGTTCTTGAAGATGACAAGAAACGAGCGCTTTATGATAAATTTGGGGAACAGGGTTATAATGCTTACGTTTTTATTATTGTCTATTTTTATAACTAGGTTGTCTCACAGGTATAAAGGAAGGAGGTGCAGATCGTGCGGGTTTTAGCGCCACAGACATATTTAGTCATTTTTTTGGAGGAGTATTTGACGGTTTCAATTATTTAAAGATCTTCAATGTTTGTAATACTCGATTAATATATACTATAGACGCAAGAGGCCCCCAGCGATGTGCTGATGCTGTGCATCAGTTGGAACTAACTTTAGAACAATTTTATACCGGCTGCACTAAGAAACTAGCTATAAAGAAAAATGTTATATGTTCTTCTTGTGATGGGAAAGGTATCAATCAATGATTTCTTTGTACGCCGTTTAAATAATTTTCAAAAGGGGGTAAAAACGTGCGGGAATGTTCGCAGTGTAACGGACGTGGTCAGGTTTTTTTGATGTTTACGCGCTGAGTTGTCTGCGGATTGAGCCTGAAGTGTTTACACTTGCGTAGGTTACTATGCATCGCCAGATGGGTCCGTTCTTACAGCAAGTCACGACCGCCTGTACTAAATGTGAGGGCTCTGGAGAGTCTGTTTCTCCCAAGGATAGGTGTAAAGTTTGTAACGGTAAGTTACGTTATGGAGAGATGCGTGCGTGTGTCCCTCATTGCGCCTCCCTCTAGGCATGAAGATCACCCAAGAGCGGAAGGTATTTGAGGTTGTGGTGACTCCGGGCATGCGGGACAAAGAAAAAATAGTTTTTGAGGGGGACGGCGACCAGCAGCCCGATTGCGAACCCGGCGACATCGTGATTGTGCTGCGCCAAAGAAAGGCAGCCCTCCGAGCTTGTTTTTCTCCTCAGCCCGCTTAACCCCCTCATTACTCCTCCAGCACCCCGTCTTTCAACGACAAGACCTGGACTTGCTTATGGAGGTGGAACTTCTTCTCTTAGAGTCTCTCTGTGGGTTTTCCAAATTACTTGTCCACCTGGACGGTCGGAAACTTTGCTTCGGAACGAATCCGGGTGCGTACGTTACTCGGTACCTAGCGGGCACTCGTCGTTGACCACTGCTTTGAAGGCGAGGTCATTGCCCCCGGTTCTTACAAGTGCATCCCGGATGAGGGCATGCCGCATCCCCGATATAGGAGCAACAGAGGCCAGATCGTCATCCTCTTTAAGGTCAAGTTTCCCGAGTATTTACCCCTCGCCAGGTTCCCCTTTTTAGCTCCTCAACTGCCCTCGAAGAAATGCCGACCTGTCACCCACGCAGTGTCGCTGCCATTGAGTCCACCCTCGGCCCTCGAGAATCCGACGTGAACAAAACCGTTATGGATGCCGCCCAGCGTGTTCATCTCTCTGATTACCGACAATCCCAGAGGAGCAACTCTTATGAAGGCATGTATTGTGTACGTGCCTGGCTGGTCGGTAGTGTATAACTGTAGCAATAACTCGTAGATGACGACGAGAGCGAGCAACGGGGCCGTCACCAAGGGGCCCAGTGCCATGCGCAGTAGCTTCCGAGTTTATCTTCTCAGGAGCATCACACAGGCGGCTACGGGTATTGAAGGCGACCACATTTTACTTGCTATTGGAGCGGATTTCTTATTTAAACGCAATGCGTTTAATACTAAATTACTTTGCTAACAAAACCATCTTTTCCCTAAAAGTATATAAATTAATAAAGTTTACGGGTTTAAATGTGCATTCGTTGCTTAAGATAAGGTCGCGCATTTGGGGGTGTGACAATTCCGTCGATTAACGAAGAGCGTCAAGTTTTTATTGTATTCGTTACATTTTTTAATCGGTTTGAGGGGTAAAGAGCGCATAATGAGTGTACGCGTTGCTACTTGGGCACCACACAGAGCCAGACCCTCGGAACCGGCGTGCTGTATTCTACGCCTATTGAGGCAGAAACTTAAACGAATGGTGTTGCTAAATCCTACTGCGGTATACTATATACCGAGTTCGAAGGGCGCCACGGGAAAGTGGTAGCAACCCATCTCCTCGTGGTGCTGGGGCGAGAGTTCATAATTGGGAGGATGCTTAAACGTAAAGGAGGTTCCTTTCAATTGGACACAGATCTAAGTAAGAGTATTACCAAGAAGCGGATTGAGGTACGAGTCGGAAAATACCGTGTGAGCTCGTTGCCACTTCAAAAAGAGACTTCTATAGGTGACTGGCAGCTTCATGCGGACATCCCTCATCAGATCATGCGTAACTACATCGCAAGGCCGCTTCAAACTGGCGTAGAGCCTACAGAGAGGAGGGAAGGGAGGGGGGTTGACTGCGATCACTTGTGTACCAGAAGAGATCGTCGTGGACCGAATTCGGAACCACGTAAACGTTCGGTAGTGGATCGCTTGTCTTGCAGTAGGACTTAGCTAAGTGGGAACGGAGGAGTACTACCGGCCGGCGGCCTGTCCACTGCAAATGCTTCACAACCCAGTTTAACTGAAGCACATGCATATTTTTAATATTAAAAACAGCCAAGTCAAATAGTTGGAAGACCCCGGCCTTGGAAAAGTAGGAATGCTGGGTGGCCCTGCTTAACTGCCTACCAAAAAGGTAGCCAACGTTCGGGCCGTCTACCACAGTGTCCGGACTGATTCCATTCAGAAAATCATCAAATAATGTTAGAGCTGAGGATCCTATGGATACGCAGAGGCCAGATTGGGCTGTGTACGGAAGGAAGGTCAGAAGCTTTTACCTATGCACTTGAGGAGAACATTCCTAACGTAAGAGTAAAGTATTTCGCGGTCTGCGTCTTTGAAATGGTTTGGTTTCAATAAAATTCCGCAACGCGTGCACTTACCTGCTTACAATTAGTAGATATGAATTAAAGCGCCACAAGTCAATAAACTCGCTTTGATCCAAACTGTCTTAGCTGTATTACTCCTCGAACTTTCGTTGAAGGTAGATCGATGCATAGAAAAGGATTACTGTTTACCTAAGTCAGGAACTGAATGCTCTACAGACCAACTATGACCAAAGTGGGCTCTGGACGTGGTGCAAATATTAAAAAACACCTTCTTAGTAATAAAGTAAAATGGTTACCCGCTAGAAAAAAACTTGGACAAGGCGGTAGCGACGACGCGGGTAAAAAGCTCGTTGTAGTGAGCGTCACTCATAGTAATCCTTAGTATTTTATCAGCATATTCATCAACCAGAGAGCCTTCTATTGAAAAGTTTGTGCGTAAAAGTTATGGCGCTTCAAAAGTTTAATTATAACCCAAAACCGAATGTACTAAAAAAGTTGAACAAAGATGCCAGAAGATCCGCAGTAAGCATGTTCGGTGTTATTAAAGCGCGATAAAACTGGAATCCCTCCTCGGCCCAATTCCGGGATGCATATTCTATGTCCACGTAAAATATATAACGAAGAGTGGGAACAAAAAATAAGAGACACACGCTCAAGGATGCCAATTAGAAAACGTGGGCGAAGCTTAACCTCCGGAGGAATAGAAGTGAAGAATTTGTAAAGATTTTCCTATAAGGAAACAGAGGTGCCATTAAATCAGGACAAGTAACAAAATATATCAGGAAGGTATGGGAACGTGTGTTTCATATGAAGCCAGAAAAGAGGCATAACGAGAAAAAAACCGCTCTTCGTTGCCCTGGCTTTCTAAAAGGCGCCGAAAGACGTAGAGTGCATTTTCCCTAAAGTATAAAAAAAAAAATAAACAGAAACGGATAAAAAAGATATAGAAGCACTTTTATATAAAAAGGGCAGTAAAAAAAATTATACTCGTTTTAACTGCTTTTACTCAAAAATTTTACTGTTACTGAGAAAACCACCTTGAGGTGTGCGCTAACGTTTAGGTACAAGTCAACAAAATGCACAAAAAAAAATTATTTATTACTAAATATACATACAACATAATTATGAGCTATTGTCAGCCTATATGATAAAAAAAAATAAAAAAAAAATATTCTAAAAAAGGTTATAGCCTCCTAACCTGTCTCCTTTACGACAGCATAAATCCAATAGACCCTCCTGGTATTTTACAGGTAACTTATCAAATTCCTCAAGTAGGCGAGGTATTTCACCCTTTTTAAAAGTTTCCTTTAACCAGCGCTTAAAACAGTGACCTGAAAGTTAAAAATAAAATATAAAAAGGTCATAGATAATAAACTTTACTTGATCCTCTTTAACAAAAGTTTGAGATTCAAAGGTTAAGTTGCGTTTTTCGTTATACTGCCTTGAAAACAAAGTTGTTGTAGTTTCTCCACATAAAGAATAGGAACGGATAAAAGAACGCTGAAATGTAGTGATACGTCTATCAAAAATTTTCAAAATATTATAAGTATCAACGTTAGAGCCTAGAATACTATAATTTAAGTAAAGTTGACTGAATAGCTGGTATATTTACTAACTTAAGCAATGGCGAAAATTATAACTAGTAGAAAACTCTCAAATAGAAATCTTATTCTAATAATTAGATATACTCGAGTAAGAAAAGAAATAGCTATTTTTTTGTAAAAAGGCAGGTGTTTCTTACATACTTTCGAAGGTTCAATAGTTTAAAAGCTCGCACATAACAGTTCATCGTAGGACAAGCTCAGAAAATGACTGTTTCTCAAAAGCCGCTTGGTGTTGCTAGCCCGAGGGGCATCGCAAAATCGTATTAAGGTGGCCAGAGCAGCCTGGTTTACTAAGTCGCACTAGCGTGCTTAAAGCTATCAAATACACTATAACTGTGCTCTCATGTTTTGATCAAATACTAAATTAAATCACATTATTATATTTTTAATACATATACAACTGTAATACATTTTTTAATTGGGCTATATTTAGTTTTTGAAGTTTTGGACTTGTAACTTAACATTAACCGATGACTATCCTGCACACTGAGTTTCACATGCACTTAAACCTCACTAATGTTCGGTATTATTCATAAGGGCGAGGTTAAATACGTGACCATTAAAGACCGAAAAAGAGAATGGCGTCGGCGGGAAGCGTATCCACGACCTTGATGCGCGTCAATGCCCTTAACCATTGAGCTACGCCACTGAGGAAAGGCGCAGGTTGCCATAGCTATCCAAATTATGATAAGATAGAGAACAACTCTCGATCCCGGTATGATGATTTTACGTATTCAACCTGTTACTCAGGGTAAGCTGTTTACGTAAGTTATGGTGATTTAAAAATAAAATTTCTTGGTTTATAGAAAAAAAGTAAAGTAGGGTAAAACTAATTATAAAATCTCGATTACAAAACTGTACAATTTGTATAGCTGCATTGTTATAAAAGGCAGGTTCGCCTTTACTAGCAACTCAAAGAGCAAACCTATACAGCTGAGAGTACGCCCACGGGTTGGGTAAAATTATATCAGACATCTAAACTTTATACCAAAATTTTTATTCGGTATTCAATTACTCTTGTCCAGTGGAAGCACCATATGCTACGATCCTGGAGATCCTAAGGTTTTCAGACGATACTAAGCGTCCAACGATGAACTTATGAGAGTTTAAATATATATGAATAAAACAAAATGTAAACGAATTAGCCTTGAGCAAAAATAGTTAACTGAACTAAGATCACAGAGCAGCGGAAATAAAACTTAAGGAAAGAGTGTATAAGAACAGAAGTTAGGAATTGGATGTAGAAGCAATAGTAACTTTAAAAGAAAGCATGCGATAGGCGCTTTAGATAGAGAAGGTAGCAAAACTGCTCCCTAACCCTAAAATTGGAAGCCTTCTATACCTGTTTAAACGCTAATAACGCAATTCATAAAACTACAATGCATTGGTCGCAATTTTATAATATTAATGAAAAAATGATAGGGGCGCATGCTAGATCACAGCACTATAAGTCTTTATTAAGTATTGTTCTTAATGAATATGTGTTAACTGTATACGACTTTTTTATAAACTACCTTGAAAAAAAAATTATCCAGATTTTGTTTATAATGCAACGATCATGAGGTTTTCTAAAAGAACTAACTCCAAGGTTTTATAACGGAATTGATTACCCTTATAACGGATAAATCGCACTTAACTGAGAATACCTTTTCTTGAAGTTGTGATTAATTTCGGCTAATTTCGATAGATTGGAGTTTCTAAGATTTGAAGGGCCTTAGAAAAGAGATAAACTTGTGAGCCTCTGTGTTTGCCTAAAAGCCAAGTCCAAGAGGATCTCAGAGAAAGAAAAAGGGCACGACCCCAAGCTACCCTAGTTTAGTGATCTAAAAAGTCCTAAGCAACTTAACCCGTCATAAGGAGGGGGAAGTGTCAAACTTATTAATCCATAAAACGGATTAATCGCATCCAACTGGGTTCATCCTCTTTGAAGTTACGGTTAAATTCGACTATATCAACTTACTCTTAGGAGAGGAAAAGTTGTCGAGACTGCTACGCTCGGTGGACTGGAAAGCGTTAGGAGGAGCGCGCGATTAATTGCCGGAACTCCAGTTTGGATTTAGGTGGTAGTGCGTCCCCCCCTCCCGGCAGAGCAGCTCTCACGTCTTCTTGATTAACACCGTGACTTTTACTACAAAAGTTATAAAGGCTGTCTTTTTAGACATCGAGAAAGACTTTGGTCACGTCTAACACCAAGGCCTCTTTTATGTAGATTGCGCGGACTGTAGATAACACGCTCATTCTTTTCTTTGTTCTCGAGCCATTCTGTTCGTTAACCCTCCTCTGCCACCGCAACGAGTGCTCTATGTACACGCCATTAAAACTCCTGCGAACCGGCACCCGCGCTACACCCTCTTTGCCCACGACAAGAAATCTTAAGTACGTAATTACCTACAATGCTCTACTAAAGACTTTAGATCTATAATCGGCAAAACGACGATCAATTGCGAAAGAGAGCAAAGCACTCTTAGAACCCGGGTTAATTTTCTCTAAAATTTCCGTTCATAATTTAATCAGTCAAAAAAATATTTACCTTAAGTTGACGGGGTAGTTAGTTAAACGCAACTAGTTTTTGTTTTTTTTCCTGTTTCTCCTGTCCTTTTTATTTTTGCGATACGTTAAAAGCACAGATTTGCTCTTAATTTTTCGTTCTTTCTCACTTATTTTCTTCTTTCAGTTTTTATGTTCATAATCTTTTACCTAATACCACTGTCTTAATAATTTTTATTTTTACTTTTCGAAAAATTCAGAAAATTACTTAATTTCCTATATACTTTCAACGTTACTTACTACTAAGAAAAATGTCATTCTCCTAACTTTTTCAGCATCTTACTCATGTATTATAATCTATTTTTGCTCTAAGTTTTGGTAAAACAAGAATGCAAAACTAAATAGCAGATTTTACAATTTAAAACGCGCTAAATTTTAATTCTTATGGTTAATGAGTAGTAAACTTGACTAACGTGATATGGCAAATTCGGCTCATTTTCTTAATAATAAAAAATTGGAAAATAGAGATATATTTCAAATAAAAAGCTCGTAAAATTTGTGTTAAATATTTAAGAGTAGCCCACATGGGGAGTATATTAGGCAATACTCATATCACACAGCTTAAAACGATTAAAGTGTCAATAATAATTAGTTTTAATCGTAGATAACTTGCCATTTTAATGGTATTAAAGCAAAATCTACTACAAAAGAAGAAGAAGTTCATACAAGAATATGCTAGAAATACTTAATCACTCCGCTTAAGAAATGTCTAAGTATTACAACTTTAAAGAATTTAGGCCCTTACATCACGCGGTTACCGATCTACCTAAAATCCTGTCTCCGGCAAAGATAAAGTAGAACGACATTTTCAAGGGTGACAACGTTCTTACCCTAGTCAGCTTTATATCAAGAGGCCAAAAAAAAAAACTTTTATGCTCCCATTTGCACAGCTTACTTAAATATAGAATATATATAAGGAGAGTTTATGATATAGCAGATACTACAATTAAAAATTTATAAGGCTACCAAACTCTAAACCCTATTCACCTAACAATAAACTATTTGAAGGAGCTTTTTAAAGTCTGACGGGGCAAGTAATGAAGAAAAACTTACTAAATTCGAAATTTGCAAAATATTTTTCCTATTCATCATTAAAGCAAAAGATGAAAAAAAAGTAAAAGCATTCACAATTTTACCAACCACAAGCAAAAATACGCAAGTTAAAGGAACAAAGATAAAATTTATCTACATCAAAAAAAAATAAATATATCAATAAAACAATGCTAACAGATAGTGGGTACTAACAAAAGAAATAACAAACAAATAAATATAATTAACAAAATTAAACCACTAACCTTTAATTAAATCACAATAATAAATCTACGCCTCTAAGCAATACCCAAATCAGTAAAAAACGCTGCGTTGAACAACGCCAATGAAATGGATATGATCTTTTAACTAATGTAATAAAAAACTAAAAAGAAAGAAGACTTTAAAATATAAATATAGCCAGACTTACCGGTTTAAAAGAAAACATGTCTTCTCTCAGTTTCTCTCTGCAAGTTATTCATCTCCCTCGTTCGTCATTTTGTTTTCATTCTTGTAAACTCTTCTGTTCTTTACAAAGTAGTCCTATGTATTGTTATCACACCTTCCAGCTATTGCTACAGTATTTTTACAAACAATTAGAAATACCATTTTATGTATATAATTCTCGGGGTATTTATTTAGTTAAAAAAAGAGATTATCTACTGAACAAAAAGCAACTACTTATTGATCATTATCCAATAAAAAACTGGAAAATCGCTAATTATTGGAAAATGCACAATGACTGCATGATTTTAAGAGACGCTCAAAAATCCCTAGATTATAAGAAGAATGAATATAAGTCTTGGGTTGACATATAAAGTCAAAGCTAAACCTGTGTTCTATGATTTAACAGGTATATAGCATAAATACTAACAACAATTGCTCTCCTTCTAAGAACGTGAGACTTAAACAACCAATAATTGACTATATTAATCAATGAACACTACAGCTTTGTAAGTTCTTTTAAAATTATCGCTGGCAGCAAAAAGCCCAATATAGCGTATTTAACTACTTCCATGAATAAATATTGATAGCAGAAATAAATTTTTGCTATCTTATCCATAAAAGTAAATTAAAACTTATATAGATAATAATAATATATGTAGAATTATTTTTAAATGTAACTGAGACGAATCTTTATCATATGAATTTAATTATCGACCATATTAAACCAATACCAAATTGATAAATGAGCATTCTCTTCTCAAGAAAACTGTGAACGACAAAAACAATGTATATAAATCCAAGCTGTATATATAGCTTACCTATAGATTATAGAATTCTTTAGTAAATTAATCCCAATTTATTGGCTTTGTGCATGTGCATGCAGATAATGTTGTAGTTTGTTATCGTTAAAGGATCGGCCTTCTTAGAGTTTCAAAGGGTTCACGCAACTCTGATAAAGCGTTACACTATATATTACAAATTTTTAATCGTAAAACTTATCAAATCACACATTTAACACCGGAATAGCTATACGGAGAAGGCAAGACGTGATGTGGTGGCAAAGGATCAGTCGATCGCCCGCTTTAGGGTGCGTTTTTCTTAACAGCGCGGCAGTCACCATTACATTTTGAGCACATATTATTACCTCAAGCACCTAATTATCATTATTCTCTTAATTAAAAGGTTTGTGCTCGGTGGGAAGCTCCTCAGTTCTTGTTATATTCTTTGTAGTGAAGCGCATTCTAAGCCACTCCATTAATAATTTTAATTATGGTTTTGATCTTCTTGTCTTCTTAGCTTGGTTCTTACTTTTTTAGCCTTTTCCTGTTTCTTTCATTATTATTTAGTAATATTAAATATTATAGTTACTAGTCTGTTTTTATGTTTCTTATTTTTTCAATTCTATATGCTTTATAACTTTAGCGCGCTTTATTAACCTTACAGAATCCTTAAGGCCGGAAGCTCGCCTATCTTATTAAGCGCTTCGTTGACAATGCGAGCTGCGTAGTGGGTTCTACCTAACAAACTTTTTTGATCTCTAGAATGGGTATCGGGGGTACAGTTTTAAGGAAAAAACCTGTAACCAAACTTAGAAACCCCCTTAGTTTTGTTGGAGTTACAAATGTTGTTGTTACTGCCTTTTTTTTGGTCGTTGTATCAGCTGTATGGTCTTAACGCATATAGCGAGTGACTGACGGGATTTTAAAACAATGCATGCAAGGTCCGATGGCCATCGCTGACGTAGTGTGAAGTGATGGTGCGGTTCTGTGCGCTTTGACCGAAGCTCTGGCAGCGGTAGACTGCCCTATACAATCGTAGTTTTATGCTTACAGGCAGGTGGCACACTGGATGCCATGCGAAGTCGCTAAAGGTCTCATTCTGGGCTATGCTTAACGTATCTTTAACAACGGGGACATTGTGAGACGCGCTATGGGAAAGGGATGAGAATCTTTGGTCCAAAGGCCGAACCTAGAGATCTCTGAGGAAGGCATTAAGAGGCTTGTCCAAGAAGGTAGCTGTTGTTTGCCCCGAGTTCTCTCGCAGCAGCGCTACAATTTTGCGAAAGGTTAATAGTTTAGAAGAGCACCACACCGCGAGCGGTAATCAATTCCACAAGCATAGACTACTTCGCCTTGTCGATGAAAACAGGAGGCATCACCTCAACATTACTTGGTTTTGATGGCTGTACTAGACGTTTTTTTTTTAAGTTTCTTCGGTTTTTGCATCTGTTTTCTCTTTGTCTCAGTTCAAATAAAAAATGAATAGAATAGTTTTAGTTGGTGATTTCTTGACAAAGACTGCTATAAACTTTGCTTAAATTGTTAACAATAGCATTAAAAGAGATTGTGAGGATAACTTGAAGATGAGCACTAGTAGCTTTGAGTTCTTCAATTTTCGATAAGAAGTCTTCTATTTATGTAGTGGGACACGAGGCAAGTTGCTTTGTTCATGGTTAAAGCGTTCAAAACCCCGAGCCGCTTCATATTGACGATTCCTTTCTATATATGGTCGTAAAGTTGATAGAGTTGGGTCTAAGCGGTAAGCGAGTAATCTAAAGATATATTTCCAAAGGTTAGTCCGTGACAGCTGAGTTGGTTCACGAGGGTCAAAAACCACTGAGTTACCAAACAAAAGAAACCATTTTTAAATATAGAAATTAGGTGACCTTTAATTAGGATTCCAGAACGATCTCAATAAGTAGGGTTGTAACACACAAAGACACGAAAATCAGGTAGGTTCTTTTTTCTTATGGTGTGTTTGTTGGGGCTTTACCCCTATTCTGTAGTATATACTAAGCCTAAACTAATACCTCTTTATATGTACATTTATTTCATTTGCTCATCTAACTTATATTTATTTTTATTACTTTGTTTCCTTTATATATTCGCTTAACATTGTCTCTTGTTCCTCTGATAAAGGTCTTCCAGCCTACATCGCTAAGATACTGGCTTCATTTGAAAAGCTTTAAAAGACTTAGAAAAAGTTTAAATAGAATTAACGAGCTAGAATTTGTTCAAGCGAAAGGCTATCTCAATCTCTTGCAAACCTGAAGCTTTACCCATTATCTGCTGATATATTTCTTTCTCTGTTCTACCTTTACAAGACGAAAGCACTAATATAAACGTAAATCCGCTTTATTGAATGATTTAACTTCTCAAAACCGTAAAACAATCAGTTTTCCAATCAAAAACGCCCCACAGAACGGAAAGCACAACCTACCAACAGCGGGAACCTTTCTGGAGATAAAGAAAATATTCCACCGGTAATTATATGTGAAAAGCAACTATGGCCGGCTATATTTTCCCTATTTCGTTCATTTTAAAATATTCGTAATGGTATTAGAGTAGGGAGGGAGGGGGGCGTCGTTTTCTGTTATTTTTGAATATCCACAAAATTATTATTGAAAAGTAATTACAAGTTTTACCACGATTGAAAAAGAAGTTATTGGCAAGAAAAAAGAGCTCTTCCTTTAGTGTTTGTACAGTTGCCATAATCTGAGATCTCAGTATACAAATTAACTTTAGTTTGTCATCTTTTAACTTCGGTGGAAGAGCTCAAGAATTCGAACGTAATGGCCCATGTCACCGCTGTCAACTTTGGCCATAATTCTACCTTCTGTACCTCCGCCTTTAGGTGAGAATGTGGAATCAACCATGAAACTGCCAGCTACACGAGGACACCAATGTCTTTCCGAAATGAGCTAATCCTCTCTCCCCGCTAACTATGGAGGTTGACATAATTTAAATTACATCCTATCGACAATTTCAGCAATGGCAAGGATGTTAAACGAGCTTCTTAAGCCGTTATAATACCTTCCTCGCGATTACTTTGAAACACAGACACCTTTTTCTGCAAAAGAGAAGTGTTTTCCACTTTCCTAATAGTCAGAAGTTGATACTGCCTTAAATAGTGAGACCCATTTTAAATCTGACGTCTAATAAATTTCCCCAATTACGTACATTACCGGCTTGGTAGGGCCTACTCGAGCAAAGGAGGAGCAGCCATTATTATTAAAAGGCAGATACCTCACTCATTTGTATCTCTTGTTAATTTACAATATATAAAAGCAGTGACTGTTAACAGCAATTACTCCCAAGGAGACGTAATTATTGATTCCGCATATAAGTCCCAGGACTGCCTTTTTTAACTATAAAACTCCGTCCTAAAACTGTAATTCTTTGCGGTGATTCGAACTGCAAAGATCTATTATGGGAGAGTAAAGTGGGGAATCCTGATTAACTTGAACTTTAAAACTACGCTGAAAAAAGAGTTCTCCTTGTTTCCAGACCATTAGAACCCACACATATATCTCGAAAGGGGCCTCAAATGTACTTAACCCATTACAAAGAACATGGGAATTGACTCAAACTTAATTACGCTCGTAGATCTCTTTTCGAATTACTTCCTCGTGCTCAACGAAATTGGTGTCATGAGTCTAGCCCTTTGAAATATATAGGAAGGTATGTGGTGAAACACATTCAACGAAAGTGATAACGGAAATAATTGAAAACAACCCTTTTATTTTGTCCCCTTGAGTTGCCCTTAATAATATGGAGGCCCTTTATGAGCACTGCAATTAATCAAGCATAAAATGGCTTCCGTTACAAACGACTTCTCTGCGTAAGGCACGCTTACCTTAGGAAATTAAATACATCAACTTTGAAAAACGGAAAAAACGTAATAAGTAACTTCCAGAGATCCCAAAGATAAACGAATTTTTAATAAACCTGACTAGAAAGCCAAAAAATGCTTCATTAATTAGGGCAATGAAACTTGAAAAACTTGCCGAGCTTAAAAATTTGAGAAATTTTTTCATTCCACTGGCGAATTGTCAAGTCCATAAGAATTGTAAGAAACCTCATTCCTTCGTTCCTTAAGATAGAAACTGGTTATGCCTATGACTTCAGAGTTAAGGATGATGTTTTCGTGCGAAATTTGTTTAGTCACTGCTTAACCAAAAAAGAAGTAGTTTATGCGATTGGAAATAGTGCTATTAACAGTCACAGTCCTCGAAATAAAATTTGCGGATATAATGCTACGAAAGAAGTAAGTTCAATTATAAACCTTCTGCAAACTAAAAAAGCATCAGTTCATGACGGCTTCACCAATGGCGGTGTTTAAATACATGCCTGAGACAACAGTAAAGGCCTTAATTTAACTTATTAATTAGTCCTAGGCTTCTTCCTGAACGATTGAAAACGGCGGCAGTTGTCCTAAATTAAAGTGTCTTTCAAAACCTAAACTACAAAGTCCTATAAGTCTTTTTTCATGTACTATTAAAATAGCTGAAGCTGTGTTCATTTTTTATATTTTCTTGTTAGTTATAGGTTCTTTAGGCAAGTTTAGCTTTCGAAGAACCGGCTATCATTGTTGGTTGTTTTAGAAAGTTAAAATTAAGCTAATCGAAAATTAATCATAAAAATAGTGCCACCGCTCCCGTAAATCACTTAATACGCCACTTCATGTGGAATTTGACCACAAATGCCCACTGAATTCCATTCAAAAATAGCATATTGCTGTTTAGAAGGACTGGTAATTTATTAAGAAATATACACAAAACACAAAACATGTACACAAATAAAAACAACAGCTCACAAAAAAAAAATTTCTGATAAAAACTAAAATTTTAACATGTTCTTACAGTTTCAAATGTTTGAGGACTATTATACAAAAGACAATATCGTATGTAATATAAACCTATTGTTTAACTATATGTATTGAAAATAACAATGATATGTAGTATGAAGTTTATCAACAGCTTGAAGGATTGCAAAATAGCTTTTTTCTTTGATTACTTTACAGCCTCCTTGGGAGCACAACACCGACCACCAAGTAATTAACACTAAAGAAAAAGAAAGACATTATTCCTTACTTTATATCTTTAATTGCGTGCAAATAACTTTCACGCGGTCTATCTCTTGTAGATTAACGGCAATTAAACATTTTGGCAGGAAATTATTTACCAGATATTTGCATAGACAATTATAGCCATTACCGTCTATTACAGGCTATTTGCATGGATAATCTAACTTGCACTGTGGAGACAAATATATTACCTCTAATGGATTCCTAAAATTTTTAAAATAACAACCTCTATAAGTGATCTATTATAATATTGTTTAATGGATAAATCATTATAGTTAAAAACTTTGAAATGCATTTTCTAAAATGAATATCAATGTGTTTCACCCTTTAACGGGTAAAACTCTGGGTCATACAAGCAAATTGAATTAAAACTAATATAAATTAACATGTAGAAGCTTTTTTAACCGAAATCACCAAAATGACCTTTCTTCTGTAACAAACATCAATCAATAAATTAAATCGTATTATAAAAAAACTGGTACCCTGGTACTCAAAGTAATAATACATTTGGCTTTGAAGAAAGGTACTATAGTCACGAGTCATTCACAAAAACTTAGTATAATCTTGATTCATTTAACAAAAAAAGTGACATAAAATAATTAACATTTAGGGGTATTAATACTCTTTTACACCTTTGTGTGCAATTTTTGCATAGTTAATAACATGAAAACCTCGTATAAGATATATGAGCTAAGTAACTTAATCTCGCCGCGCGCTCTCTCTCGTGCGCTTTGCCCTTTTCCTTGGCGGACGCTTGGGTCGCAGTCAACATCGTACCTTGCTCACAGCGATCTAGGCTATTTCAACGGGCATAACTTAAAATTAGGTACATTATACCTTAGCTGTGTAGGTCGGGTTCTTAGTGAGACTATGCCGATTATTCTTGGCATTGGACTGTTCTTCATACCTTGAGAATTTCGTACCATGTTGTACACTCCTTGACGGTGCGAGGATTGCTTTTGTACCTAGGCTGTCATCGTAAAGTGGCCAAAAAAGATTGGTCCTATATATAAAATTTTCGCCAGCAGGCCGCTTAGTCTCGGTGGGCTCCAGATGGTATCGGTCTATGGAGCTGAATGGGTTGTTATCCGTAGGCGGAACACATGCTCAATGTCGACTCACTCCCATTTGGTCATTTCACCCTTAACTTTCCAACGGGTCAACTTTGCTGTTACTGTAAACTTAAACCAGTACAACTTTAACACGATTTTGACAAAATAGCTAATTAACTGTGAACCTGTGAAACGTGATTATGGTAACTTCCTTTGGATCCTATTAAGCTCAGGGTGAACATGTGCTACGGAAAGCTCAAGAGTTGCAATAACTAGATAACTTAAATTTATGTTGGGGACGCACGGTTAAAAACAACTAAACTTGACAAAAAGTCGTCT